GAGCATGAAGAAAGCACACACAGAATGAGGTAAAATTTTTGTCAGCTGCTTCTCAAACATTACTATCCAGAATACATAAAGAACTCAAAAATATTTAACACCAACTTCCCCAACCCCAATCCTCACAACCATCACCCAATTGCTAAGAGCCTCTGAGGGAAGGGAGGGATCATACATTTCAACACAAATAATCACCCTCTAAATGGCTCTCTTCCTGCCATTTTTGTCACTCTTGGTCATACAGGCATGATAAGAGGAGGAGGAGACATAAGAAGAAAGAAAACCTAAAATCTATAAAGGGGCAAGACATCCTCATTCCATCAGGCACCTTTTTGGAGGACTGTCTCTGTTCTCTTTTCTCTCTGTTCTGTTTCTTAAATAAAATTTACTTTTTGCTCTTGCCTTGGCATTTCTTACGTGTTTTGTTTTCAACAATTGGCGAATGAGAACCTGATCCTGATTTTCAAGACTGGTTTCACAGTCAGAATGGCAATTAACAAGAAAACAAATAACATTAAGTGTGGATGAGGATGTGGGGAGAAAGGTAAACTCATACATCATTGGTGGAACTGCAAATTAGTACAACTACTCCAAAAAACAGTATGGAAATTCCTCAAAAAACTAGGAATAGAACCAGCATATGACCTAACTCTCACATTCTTTTGTGTACAACCCCAAAAATCTAAAATCAGCATACTACAGGGATACAGCATATCAATGTTCATAATAGTGCAATTCACAACAGCCAAGTTAAGAAATCAACAAAGTTAAGAAATCAACAGTCGAATGAATAAAGAAAATATGGCCCTTATTTGATTTGCTAAAGGGAGACCAACATTTAGACTCCCTCTTACATACCCCAGAATCTCTTGAGGCTTTGGAATTGGTTAATACATCCCTAAACAACATAGAGGTAAAACACTAGACCCTAAGAAGGATGTCTGGGCAATCATATGCCTAACTCCTGGGCTTCCTACTGGAGTCATCTGGCAAGAGCCAGACCATATCATATCATGGGTGCACTCTTCCTCTAGTGCACAAAAAAAGTCCAAAGTCAAGTGGAAGTCATCTCACAGATGATCATCTCATTGAGAAGGTTCCTACTTCAAGTGCTGTGGAAAAAAACAGATAGGCTCATAATTCCTCTCACTACCTCAGAGGTGAATAATCTTATGATGCTTAGCCCTAATTTCCAAGTGGCCATGGATACTTTCACTGTGGTCCTTGACTGTCATTTGCCTCCATCAAGAATCCTGCAAACCATTT